TCTCTCTCTCTCTCTCTCTCTCTCTCTCTCTCTCTCTCTCTCTCTCTCTCTCTCTCTCTCTCTCTCTCTCCCTCCTCTCGCTCTCTCTCCCTCTCTCCCTCTCTCTCTCACTCTCTCTCTCTCTCTCTCTCTCTCTCTCTCTCTCTCTCTCTCTCTCTCTCTCTCCCTCTTTCTATCTTCCTGCTTTGCAAGAAGAGATTCTTTAAACGTCCTTTTACTCTTAAGAGTTGTGGGAGTAAGAAAGGGGAGGGAATAGGGGAATCATTTTAATGTTTCTAACTATTCATTAAAAAAAATAAACCCTTCGTGTTCACTACATTTTGGAAAGGGTGTTAGCGAGCATAGTACGTTTAAAAATTCGTGGCGCAACTATATTCAAATATTTTCCACGCTATCGAACATAGACTCTCCAGCTTTTGCATAATGATTTGAATTAGTTTGTCTTAACACATCAGTAATTTAGCACACACCTATTACTATGATCTAGAAAATTCCTTAATAAATGCTAATAAAAAAATCTAAGAGGGTGGTTTCTACAGGTTTCAAAAGTTTAAAAGCTGGGGCAATATCGTTTTTCAAAGCAAACTCGTATTGTTTCTCTAATCGCCACATTATGCTTATTGAACGCATGTCTTGAGAATCTTTAGTGAAAAAAATGTGTTCACTGTAAAATTAATCTCATGTAACAAGTTTTACCACTAAAAGGTGTCATTGGTGAGCTGTGATGTTGACCATTTTCTTTATTCCTCTCAAGACCACTCAAAACCATGTCATTTTCGTGGCCTTTATTCCACACTGACAGATAATAATGTACAAAACCTAACATTTAACACAGTCCATGTGTCAAAAAGGTTGCGTGCTCGACAGGAAACCAATAGCTCCTGAACAAAACAAGAATTAGAACTAATGAACACATGCAACAATTACGTCCAGGTTTTGCGTGGTACTTGTAACTATTGTTTTCCAATCTGTTGTTCATTGTAGAGATAATAATTATACCCAAACACATTTTTACTTTCTCTGATCTCGCACAATTTTGCCAAGCCTGATTTTTAAATGTCAAATTTGAGTGACCATATCTAGGGCGTCTCTTAACATAGATGAAATATTAATATGATACAGAATGTATTTAGTTTTAAATTGGTATGCTGAATAAGCAGGTAGTGCAGGGCTACAACACAATGTTTGGGTGGGTGAATACATTCAAGTTTCTTTTGCACGCCACTATGAGTTTTTGTGTAAGTGTGTATGTGTGTGTGTGTGTGTGTGTGTGTGTGTGTGTGTGTGTGTGTGTGTGTGTTTATGTGTACGTGGTGAAACACCAAACCAATGTGCCAGGACCTGAAACGTACATATTTAGCTCATCTTATCATTTTAAAAATTTAAGTTTTGCAAAAATCAAATCCAAAAAAATATATAATCTTCCCAACTCGCTGTGTGGACTGAAAGTTTTGCTAAATATAAACAAAATAACATTTATTGTCGCTCTCAACATGCTTTACAGTAAGAGCAAAACAAGAAATAGTTGGGAATAATGTAGACCGGTGATCCTTTAAGAGAACCCAGAGATGATTGTTAATGTTCACCCCCCCCCCCCCCACCAAAATTCAAAACCCCACACTGCTCCATACGTAAAGCAAGCTGCAACCTCCCCCTATCAAAAATACAAAGTTCGCCCGACAAACGCCGAACACTGATCCGCATGTAGCGA